TCTGTAAGACTAAAATCCTGTCAAATTAAAAGTTACACAAGATCAATTAAGGAAATAAAAAGCCTAAAGAATGATGAGAGTATGATAGTATTATAGTATTAAAATTTATGCTAGAAACTGAAACTTCTTTTTCATGCCTTTAAATATTTATTCAACTTTATAACATTTATGTGATTAAGTTTTCCTAGTGTATTGCTACTCTTCAGGAAATGTTCATGTAATTTCATATAATTTTGAGCTCTTGGGTCTAATGGATCATAAGTTTCCATTTGGCTCTTAAATTGCTTCTAAACTCTTCTGGATAAGTGATCTTGTATAATTAAGTATCTAATTCACTTTATCGAGTCTAGGAACACTTATTCTGGCTATCCCACCTGTTAGTCTCTTTTTGAGCCAATTATTAATACTGTTACCATTGTATCTCATAAAGTAATATCTCATGGCCCACCCCAAACCAAGGGAGTGGCTGTTGGTCTGGTTCTGAAACTGTGTCCAAGTTCACAGGGATAATTAGGATATTTTTAAAGTTTCATGGGAAACATAGTGATATGTATTGGACAGAACTCGACATCATTCACAGTTGTAGTATAATCTTACTATAATTCATTTTTTATGTTAGATTCCTATAAGCCTTTCATTGGGGTCGTATTTTTATTAAGCCATGTTTTTAGTGGTTAATAAAAAGCATGAAATCCAGAAAATGAAGGTGTTGGTGTGTATTGGGATTTTATGATTTGGGAAACTATTCATCATCCAACTTGCTCTCCTGGAAATTCTAATGTATCCTGAAGAGTGAATGTGGTGATGATACCCAGTGCAAGCTTTTACATAGTTTCCCTAGAAGAAAGCCAGTGACAGAACTTAGTGAAGTTAAAAGCATTAGACAAACACAAGTCTTCAAATTCTTTGCTAGTGTGTTACTATAATTTTTAATTAGTCAAGCCATAGAATTAAAAGTTTATTCAGTAGAATTGATTTCCCCTAGTAAGCTTTCCTTATCATACGGTTTGCCTACGAGCATCTCAGCAGTGTGGGATTTGGCATTGATCTTCACTCATTCCCTTGCATATTCTTTTATGACAGTGCTGATGAGTAGCAAAATGACATAAGGCTAATACCAAATAGTAATTGTGCTTATTACTTCACATTCGCATGTAAGTTAAGTTTTACAACATATTATGGCTTGAAAGATTTGCTGTGTAGATAGTTTTAATATTTCAGTGTTCATATTTTATCAACTAGAATAGTAATCTTAGTAAAAGATTTCACTGTTGAAAGAATCACACAGCTGTAATAAGTAATCAAAGGAAACAGGATGTATGAACATTCTATCAAGTTAAAGATTAGAACTTGAAGCTTAATATAAATAAGAAAAAAAACTAAAAGCTAGGTCATAGATTATCATAGAAAGTTAGTGTCTAAAAAAGTTTTTTGAAGACAGTGTGATTCATCTTTGTCATAGAAATGAGAAAGCGTGAAGCCCAGAGACATGGAATGAGAAATCTCATGATAAACTCCTTATCTCAGAATGTTTTCTTGTTCTCACTGGTCTGTGACAATCTATTTCCTGTTTGAAACAGAGAGAAAACAGCTGGCTATTGATCTCAGCCCTGCACCCAAACCGTTATTGAAGGGCTTAGGCTTAGCGTGTTATTTTTACATATTGAGGAGAGGGCCAGGACGTTTATTTGTATAAGGATCCTACTACTGAATGACCAAGAGTGACCTCAGAACCAGCTAGAGCTCCCCTCTCCAAGAAAAATAAATGAGCCATTCAGAGAATGTATTCATGTATAACAGATGTCTAGGAGTAGAATTTTAGGCATATAGGCTTTTGCGTGGCTGAATCTAGGGGTTCAAGATTGCTATTATGACTTAGTGTCTATCTCTTGGCTCATTTTCCTTTCGGTTGGCTTCATTCTCAGATAAGGTCTTTCCCAGGACTTTAGGGGGAAACACAGAACCACTGGTTCTGATTAGTAGTAGGGAAGAGAGGTTATGTTAGAGCAGACTGTTTGTTCTGGAGTTCTTCAAAACTTAAACTGGCTCCAATAAAAATTTTTTTATAGATGATAATGGAAGCAGTATAAACTTCCATTATGTGACCCCATAAACTGCTGTATGTCTCAAAGGCATCAGTATTTCAAGGGGTCATGACTTTTTGACCATTCTGTGCAAATCCACAGTTACCTGTAGAAGCACAGGATGTAGAAAAAGCCTTAAGCTGGAAAATAATGGGAAAGTTATGGCTAGCTGCTAGCAAGATAAAATTTTAGCAAAAATAAATCACCAAAGTAGTCTAGGGCATGTTTTACTGGGTTTGAGCACACAACAAAGCGGATGGAATCTACATGGCTAAGGGAGGGGAAGTCAGAGTTCTCAGATGTTGGGTGGGGCACAGGAGTGAAACACAGCTCTGTGAGAGCAGAGCACACGCTCGAGAACATGGTCTTAGCTCTGAAGCCCTCTATTTGGGAAGTGATGTAAAGAATGGCCATAGTGAGGAAGGGCTGAAAGATAGCATACAGTAAGTTTGGGAGTTCTTGATAAAACATAAGAATTATCTGGTCATTTTGTGTCTTGCTGTTTTTAGGTCATGTTCATGAATTTAGTTCTGCTTTCTCTGCTTGGAAATTGCTTCTTTCGGATTACTCCAAGTCTTACTTGTTTACCACCTTTCTAGATGGGTATTCTTCTGTGTGGGAATTCTGCTGGGTGCTGAGTATATCAATTCCAGATGTGCCTTCCAAACTGGTTACACAGGCTGTGCTTGAGAATCACTTGGGCTCAATCCCACTTACCCCCTCAATCTCTTTAAAACCCCACAGCCTGGTACACTATAATGGCAGTAGAGTCTTAAGAATTAGTGTCAGCATACAGTGAGTGTCCAGAGCTCCTTCAGCCTGGTAAACAGCCCTTCCCACACATACAGTTACCCAGACAAATAGTCCCTGGTTTCATTGGGGGAAGGTATGAGGAAGATCTGCATTATAAATTTTGGGCTGTGTATCAATCAGGCATGGCCTCCCATTTTTGATTCAAAAGGAAAGTTCTGGGCCTATCAATTTACTCAAATTTAGGAAGTAATTGAGGTACTCTGATTTCCCATTTTATTCAAGTTAATTTTTCGCTCACTTAAGCAGAACTTTTCTGCTCAGACAGATGAAAAAACTGAAACCACACTAGGTTGCCCTGTTCAGTTCCAGGAATACAGTCTTGTGCCCAAGTTGCCAATGCTAAAAAATTTCTGCTGGTCCGATATTTCTGATTGTGTGTCCATTATTCTAACAACACTCACCTTTCTCTAGATAGTAAGTGCTGCCACTTGGTGCCGGCCACACAGAGATTTCATCTTCTTGGTGAATTCAGGGGACACAATTGATGGCAGTAGGTCTCATATGACTTCTGGCCTAAAACACAGAGCCTGGACCTTCATGAGCACACAAGTCAGTTACATAGTCCGTTACCTCTAGCCTTCCAGTCTTTCTGAGTCTTTGAATTTATACCAGGGAACTTATTTTAGTGTAGGCTACTGGTGGAGGTTAGGGTAAGGTGTCAACCTAACTGACTTTAGGACCCTGCTGTAGATCGATGTAACACACTTTTGGGTAGGTCATGTTGGAATACTCTGGATACTGTATGTGGTCCTTGTCTTCTTCCTTTCTGACACTGTTCTCCTATGCTGTTTCCTGTCTGCCATGAACTAAACATATTTGATCTGCCATACCCCTCTGCCATGTTCCTGTCTTAGCGCAACTGCCCATGGACTGAATCTCCAGAAACAATGAGCCAGATTAAAACTCTTCTCCTTTAAGTCGTGAGTTTCAGGTATTGTGTCTGCGATATAAAGGCTAATACAACAATAGATTTCACCTCAAAGAACTCAGCATCTCTGCCCTTACCCACTGAAAAATTTGCTTCATTTACACTTTGATACTCTTAAAACTAGAATGTAAGTTCTGTGAGATAAGAGATTTGGTTTGGTTGACTCTGTAATGTCTCAGATGTCTGGCAAGGTGCCTGCTATAGATTATCAGGATGGTCATTGTGTGCTTGTTGAAGATTGACTGGCTCACTTACTGCTATCTGTTCACTTCTCGAATATACTGAGCATGGTGTTAGTAATGGCAAGTAGTAGACCATAGAAGGTAAAGATAAATGAGTTGTCCATAAAAAGAGAAGTGGCTAGGGTTGACACCTTGAAGACAGAGGGTGGAGAGGTGAGAGATGAAACTTACCAGGTAATAGTGACCACAGTGTATAGTGTGGTAGGCCATGATGAGAGAAGCTTGTCTGGTATTGCAATTGTGGTGAGAAATCCTAGGAGCCCTGTAAGCCAGGAGTGCCAGGATTTTATTTTATTTCTAAAATTGTTTGGAGAATAGGTTGAGCAAAGCAAGCATAGTAACAAGTAGATTAATTAGAAGTTATATTTTTGATTCAGGGTAGCCTGAACCATTGGGCACTGGTAGCTCTCTTCACCTGCTTTTGTCACTGGTTCTGTGACGAAATCTGGTTTTGTAGCCTTGCTGTGTGGGTGCAGCTGCCATGGTGACTGCAGCTGCAATACAAACCTCTCAGTCCTGTTCCAAAGCCACCCCGATGGAGCCCAGTGAATGGAAAGCTGAGTCTCATGAGGGCAGTGTTCCTGGGGAGGGCTTTTCTGGCATACTGTGATATTTCACTCAGCAAACTTTTGTACTGGTTTTATTAATCAAGTTGCCTTTATATGTAAAAATTTCAGAACTAGAGTTATACTTTGGCATGTTAATATAAATAATATAAATGCAATTTATAGATAATTCTAAGTGAGTCAGAGCAATTTTTAAATTTCCGATCTGTTTTATATAACAGGTTATAATATTTATATCATGTACTATAAAATCATAATGAACTGTTTGTAAATGAAGTTATATATACATATATCATAGCATGTTTTAAAAATTATGAAATTATAATTGTATTTCATTTGACTTTATTTTTGCTATTTTTATTCAAAGTACCAAGATACAAATATGCAAGGAGTTGTATATGAGCTAAACAGCTACATAGAACAACGACTGGATACAGGAGGAGACAACCATTTGCTCCTGTATGAGTTGAGTAGCATAATCAAAGTAGGTAAGAAACATTTTATATCCTCTTAGGAAAACTGGATCAAAGATTTTTTTCCGCATTACAAAATTTGTCAAAAAATTGATGTACTATTAAATGGTGGATAAAAGTCGTTCATTTACTTCTATTGCCAGATCAAGTTTGAAGTGTAAATCCTGTATTATGAAAGTACCAGAAAAGGTCAAATCTAAAAGTCCAAAAAAAAACCTAAACTCAAATAAATATTTCCTTAACATATGAATAGAACATACTATGCCTTTAATACTACTTTTCTTTGGGCACTATTGTTTTATTGAATTAATTCACATCTTTATAAATAAAATCATTAATTTAAAAAATTTTTTTGGTACTGGGGATCGAACTTGGGTCCTTGTTCTTGCAAGGCAGGTGGCGGAACCACTGAGCTAAATACCCGGCCCATAAAATCATTAATTTTTAAGGAAAGCTAGCATTTTTAGTTTATTTGGCTAGGCGACAGTTTTAATACATAAGAAATGATATGTTGTGAAAAGAAAGAGGAATATATATTAGAAAAATAATTTTTAGAAAGATGCACTATTTTTAGGACAGATATTTTTTAAAATATCCACTATGAAAATTCAGTGGATGTAGTGATGGTGATAGCATTTATCATGTATTTAATTATATGCCAGGTACTTTTCCATGCATGTTATATGCATTAACTTATTTTCATTATAATCTCATGAGATACTTTCTATTATTATTACTTTTTACTGATGAGAAGCTATAGAACAGAGAGGCTAAATCTTACGTAAAATCCCCCAGGTAAAACAGAGTTAAGTAAAATTTAAGCAATCTCTGCAAAACTTATCCTATTTATTGCTGTGGTATTGCCTTATGTGATCCTGAAAGGATTTTAGGGAATTTTTTTTTCCTGTGGATACATAGGAGTTCAGACCATCCCTTTTGTTTGATTTGTATTTCAGTGATTCAGTACTACTAATACCAGTTCTGCTATTCCTAACATTTTAAAATTTAAAGACATTGAATTCTAAATATAGTCTCCAAAATTCTACACATTCAAAAATTGACAAATACATTATTACGTAGTGTGTTGCCTGTGATATGCATTTGAGAATGTCAAATCATAAAATTTTCAGTCACTAATGAAAAGTGTATGAAGTAATTCTAATAATGTTTTTGAAAAAAGTCATGCCTTATTTTGTTCTGTTTACTGCATAACACTGGCTACTCTAACGAATTCATTCTAATGACTCTTCTCTGATCCTCACCTTTGAAAAATGGTTTATATTATGTTCTTTCATTGAAATTAGTTTCTTTTTCATTACTTTGGCAGCCACGAAAGCTGATGGATTCGCACTGTACTTCCTTGGAGAGTGCAATAATGTAAGTATCTATATTTAGATTTTGGTGCCCTAGATTTAAAAAAAATACTGTAAGTTCTTTAAAAAGCTATCAAATTACAAATAAAACATATGTACTATAGTTATTAAGCACTCTAAACTTATTTGTGTTTTGTTTGTATATGTAATTAATATCTGTTAAATAGCATGGCAACTTTTAGACATAAAATCTTGCTGCATATTTATTTATTTACTTATTTGTTTATGTTTTGGTTTGCAGTATCCTGCATCATGGATGGCATTTCTAGAATTTGTGTTTTTTACAAAAGTTATTTCAACACCGTAGCCTGGGATACCATAGAGGAGAGCTTGTGCCCATTGTATGCATGATCTGTGTTAGAATAAAGTAAGAATAAATGTTTAGCACCATCTGTGTGATTTATAAGGCTCTGAAGGTCAGCTCTGTAAAAGTACTGGGATGGAGTTACTGCATCTGGATACCTGTGCCACTGCGTCTGTGTCTCTGGTCATTGAGGCCCAGGTGGAATCTCAGCTGTCACTGTTTTGTATATCTGGGGGACTTTAATAGGGACACAGCCCACTGTCAAATGTAGCATGTATGGGCAGTTTCAAGAGAATTTCAACATATTCAGTTACTGATATTTGATTTTTGTAAGGACATTAAAAACATGTACATAATATTTTAGCAAGATCCTTGTCAATTTATTTCTAGCTTATAATTCATTTATAAATTTGTTTGACAGGCATCTGTATTTCTTAGATGTTCAGCACCGCTACTTAAGAATTGAGATGTTTTTGCAATATGACATCTATATTCTTGAGTAAGCAAAATATGAGCTATTGACACTATATAGCCTGTCAATAGACACAGAGAAAAAAGAGTGCTATTTTGAATTCTATTTAATAATATAATGATACGAATCACAAAAGTAGTTCCTGGAAAATACTGGCTGATTTAATTAACTCATGACTGCTCCTCTTTATTTCTACAGCCACTCTTTTCCTTAGTATTATGTTAGCTTACAGACATTTATTATCCCCACGAAATTAGAGACTTCTTTACAGCCAAGACCTTTGGTCACTTGTGCTGGTATTTTCCTGTGGCTTTCCTTGACGTGGCCAGGCAAGAAAGTTTAATAAAGGGCATTATTCATTTTTTTTCAGCTTTGAGTTTATTGGTACATTTTAGGGATACAGTATGTTGCTACCACTTCCATTTCCAAAGACTTTAAGCTATATTTTAGACACTGGTAGTATTTCTTTAATTAATTTTATTGGTACATTTAAGGTATACAATATAATAGCATTCATTGTTGAAAATTTGTGCCTTTACTTATCAATCTCAGTTCTTAATTATTCCCCATCCCCCTGCCCTCCCTTCAATCTGTACTTTGTTTCCATTTTTTAAAAAAATTCTCATATTAATTCTATTCCCTTCTTTCCTTTCTCCTAACTCTCTCATGTCCCCTTCCCCTTTATCCCTTTTCTTCCTATTTCACATTATCTCTTATACCTTTTAGTACTTATTTACACTTTCAGTTTCTCACACTAGAGAAACTATTCAGAACTTACATGCGTGTCCTATTTATTTCACTTGAGTATCACTTCAATGTACATCCATTTGGCTATAAATGTCTCCAATTTTCATTTTTTATGGCTGAGTAGTACTCCATTTCATTTAAAAAAAAAACACCACATTTTCTTTTTCCAGTTTCTTGTTGACTGGCAATTGGGCTGCTTCCAAATTTTAGCTATTACAAATTGTGCCACTGTGAACATGGGTGCACATATATCACTGTGGTTGACTCTTAATTCTTTAGGAAGACACCCAGCAGGGAATATCTGAGTCAAATGGGACTTCCAATACTAGTTCTCTGAATTATCTCCATATTGATTCCCACAGTGGTTGCACCGGTCTACATTCCCACCAGCAGTGAGCAGGATTCCTCTTTCCTCACAGCTCTGCCAGCATTTGTTATTTATTGACTTCATGATAGCAGTCATTCTTTCTGGGGTGGGGTGGAATCTCATTTGCATCTCTTGAATGACTTAGTGATGTTGAACATGTTTTCATGTGTTGATTTGCTATTTTTACTTCTTTGTCTGAGAAATGTTTGTTAATTTCAGACACCCATTTTTGGACTGGGTCTTTAAATTTGGGAGGTCTGATGTTTTTAAGTTCTTTGTGTATTCGAGATAGTAGTCCTTTGTCTGAAGAACAGCTGGTGAAATTTTTTTTCCACATTGTGCATTCTCTTCACACTGTTGGTCATTTCTCTTGCTGTGCAGAAGCTTTTAAATAAGACGATCCCACTTGTCAATTGTTTGTGCTGGTTCACGGGCAACTGAGGTTCTGTTCATAAAATCTTTTCCTATGCCAATGTCTTTAAGAGTTCTACCTAACCTCTCTTCTAGCTATTTAGTGTTTCTGTTTTAATATTCAGATCTTTAATCCATCTCGATTTCAGCTTAGTCCATAGTGAGGGATTTAGGTCTAGTTTTAATCTTTGGCAAGTTGAAACCCAGTTTTTCCAACACCATTTATTAAAGAGGCTATCTTTCCTACAGTGAGGGTGTCTGGCTCTTTTGTCAAAGATGAGGTTGTTGAGTATGTCTGGAGTTGTTTCTGCATCTTCTAATCTGTTCTACAGGTCCTCAGATCTGTTTCTTTGCCAATAACATGCTGTGTTTATCATAGTAGCTTTGTAGTATAGTTTCAAGTTGGGAGTTGTGATACTCCCTAACTTGTCTTTATTGCCTAGAATTACTTTTGCTATTCTAGGTCTCTTCTTGTTTCAAATGAATTTTTGGATTGTTTTCTCAAGGTCTGTGAAGTATGCTTCTGGGATTTCAATTTGGATTGCATTGAATTTATATAGCAGTTTTGGAAGTATGGCCATTTTCACTATGTTGATTCTTCCTACCCAGAAGTAAGACATGTCTTTTCATTTTCTGATATCTTCTTCAATCTCTGTTTTCAGAGTGCTATAGTTTTCAGAGTATATGTCTTTTGTTAGGTTGATTCCTAGGTATTTTAATATTTTCAATGTTATTGTGAAAGGAATTGATTTTTCTCTCAGTGAGTCTGTTTTTCTTGTACAGAAAAGTTATTGATTTTTGTTTGCTGACCTTGTATCTGGATACTTTACTGAATTTGGTTATTAAGTCTAGAAGACTTTTGGTGGAGTTCTTGGGGTCTTTTATATAGAGTATCACATCATCTGCAAATAATGACAATATGACTTGTTCCTTTTCTATCCTCATTCTTTTTATTTCTTTCTCTTGTCTAACTGCTATGGCTAGTGTTTCCAAAACTATATTGAACAGGAGTACTGATAGCAGACATCCTTGTCTTGTTCCTGATTGTCTGTTGGCTTTTCATAGATGGCTTTTATCAGATTGAGGTAGAGACTATCTATTCCAATTTTCTGTAGAGTTGAATGCATGTTGGAATTTGTTGAATGCTTTTTCTGCATTTATTGAGAAGATCATGTGGTTTTTGTTCTTTGCTCTATTAATATAGTATATTAAATTCATTGATGTGCATATGTTGAACCATCCCTGGGATGAACCCCTCTTGGTCAGGGTGTATGATCTTCTTGATGGTCTTCTGCATTTTATTTGCCAGTATCTTGTTAAGGGTTTTTGTACTTATGTTCATTAGTGAGATTGACCTATAGTTTTCATTTTTGGTTGGGTCTTTCTCTGCTTTGGGGATCAAGGTGATGCTTGTTTCCAGGATTGAAATTGGGAGTATTTCTTCCCTTTCGATTTCACTGAAGAGTTTAAACAGCAGTGGCAGTAGTTCCTCTTAAAATGTCTTGTAGAACTCACACTAAATCCATCAGGGCCCAGTCTTTTCTTGGTAAGTTTTTAGTTATGTCTTCAATTTCATTGATATTGGGTCATTTAGAATTTTTAGGTCATATTTGTTCAACTTTGGTAATTCATACATATCTAGGAATCTGTCCATTTCTTCTGAATTTCCATCTTATTGGCATATAGGTCCTCGAGGTAGGCATTGATGATCCTCTGGATTTTTGCTGGATGCATTGTAATTTTACCCTTTTCATTCCTAATTGCATGGATTTGGGCCTTTTCTTTCCTTTTATTGATAAGATTGGTTAAGGGTTTGTCAATTTTGTTTATTCTTTTGAAGAACCAACTCTTGGTTTATTGATTTTTTTGTATTGTTCGCTTAGTCTCCATTGAATTGATTTCTGCTCTGATCTTTATAATTTCCTCCCTTGTATGAGCTTTGGGTTTGACCTGCTTTTCTTTTTCTAGAAGCTTGAGGTTCAGCATCAGGTTGTATAATTGAGCTCACTCTGTTTTCCTAATATGAGTATTCATTCACTGCTATGAATTTCCCTCATAAGACTGCTTTCATTGTATCTCATAGATTCTGATGTGTTGTATGATCATTGTCATTTAATTGTAGGAATTGTCTGATTTCTTCTTTAATTTACTCTGTGAGCCATTGGTTATTCAGAAGTGTGTTGTTCAATTTCCATGTGTTTATAAATTCTTTCAGTTTCTTTTGCTATTGATCTCTAATTTCATCACACTATGGGCTGATAATATACAGGAGATCACTTCAAATCCTTTGCACTTACTTAGACATGTTCTTTGAGAGAGTATCTGGTCTATTTTGGAGAATGACCCATGTGCAACTGAAAATAATGTGTATTCTAATTTTGTGGGGTGAAACACTCTGTAAACATCTGTTAAATTCATTTGTTCAAGAGTTTGATTGAGTTCTAGTATTTCATTGTTTATTTTCTGTCTAGTTGATCTATTTAACTGTGACAGTGGGGTATTGAGTTCCCCCACTATTACTGTGTTAGTGCTTATTTGATTTTTTCATGTCCATTAGTATTTTTTTTATATAGTGTTTGGTGCATATATATTTATGATTGTCATCTCTTCCTCTTGGATTGTTCTCTTTACAAGGGTATAGTGTCTTTCTTTGACTCTCTTCATCATTGTTGGTTTGAAATGTACTTGATCTGCAAAGAGGAC